TGGGAACCTATTTTAAAATCCTTACAAGTGGTATCAAAGAGTATGCAATCAGTTAATTTAAGCTTACAAAAAGCATCAACACAATTAGAAAGTGCTATTTTAATTATAGAAAAGTTGCGGGATCAATATGACCAAATAATAAAAGATTCAAGGGAATTATGTATGAAGTGGAATATACCCTTCAAGTTAAGTGAAACTCGTCAAAGATATGCAAAAAAAGTATTTTGATGAAGTAGACAGTGATCGCCGGCTTACTACAACTGATGATAATTTTAGAGTTACTATATTTTACCCAGTTGTAGACACAACACTATTACAATTAAGAGTTAGATTTAAAGGAATGAAAACTGTGTGTAATGATTTTATTATATTAATGCCTGAAATATTAACATCAATGTCTGACGAATTGATTGTTAAGTCATCATATGACTTTATTAACAAATATAAAGAAGATATCAGTTCTGATTTCACTCGTCAACTTATTATAATTAAAGGCTATTTATCTTCCAAATTTCAAACCAACTATTTAAAAAATATGACAATTCACGATTTAGCTGATACTATTGTTAAGGAAGAGCTGACATCAATATTTCCTGATGTATTTATCGGTATTATAATTTTTTTTGACTATACCAGTGACATCTGCTTCAGCTGAGAGATCCTTTTCAAAGCTTAAACTTATCAAAAATTACTTACGGAACTCCATCGGGCAAGAGAGACTTTCAAGTATAGCTTTGCTTAATATTGAAAGACAACAAACAAATGATATTAACATAGAAAATATAATTGACAATTTTGCCAACAAAAAGGCAAGAAAAATGAATTTTTTAAAGTGAGTGATGTTTTTTTTTCAATTTTTTAATTGACTGTTAATGTTAATGTTTACTGTGTTCAATTTATATGTTACCTACAATGTTGATAATTATTTATATTTAATATGAATTAAAAAAGGTTACAAATTATTACATTTATTTATTTGTAAATATATACCTGTATGTGTTTTACTTATGTTAACCTTATTTTTGTTTATATTTGTATGAGCAAAAATCCAAAGTATGTTTTCAAATTTGGAAAAATTAATTTTCTAGACAGAGGGGAGGGGGCATTAATTTTATTTGCACACGGGCCCAAATTGGTGTAGTTGCGGCACTGGTAGTCATTATATAGTGGGCAAACTATTCCATAAACCCAAGGACACACTCAAATTTCAAACGGTCAAATACTACAGTATTGCATGGATCTTATATCATGAAAGAAATAGTACTCAGAAAATATACGTTCATCAGTATTATGTAGAAATAAAATACAAAGACAACGAATAAATAAAACTAAATATATAATTATTCTATTCTTAACTAAACATCAAAAGCATTTGTACCAGGTCGTGATACAAGCACATACTATCATACTCTGTGTTCTAGCCAAGTAATAAAAATAAAAATATCTTATAAATATTGAACTGAACACTAATTAAATGAAAAAAATAGTTACTATGCCAATAAATATAAATGTGCCTAATTGTTATTATTTTCCATCAAAATTCACTTGCAATAAATTTCTTATAATATCTAAATTCTAATACATCTAAATATATCAACAATGGCACTCAAAAATTTTTTTAGATCGCAGGTAAGTTGCTTTAATATTTGTTTTCAAATCCTTTGGTTTTCGCTCACGATTTCCTCAGCCGCTCACGCACATTAGCTGTTTTCTCTATATCACGTCGAACTTATAGACACGCGTCTGTTCGCTTGTGTTCTAGGTACCATGGACCAACTTTGCATTCGGTGAAATTAAACAGACATCTTTACTCTTGTCACGGCCCGTGAACAGGAATCCTAAAGTCGCCATGAGCAAGTTCGACAAGATGCCCTTGCCCTATGACGTATTGGAAAAACGTATCAAAATAGTCGATAAGAGGTACGATAATGATGTGTTCATTGTTTTTACACTTTTGTAGAACAACTATTCTTAAAGATCACTGATTTTTTCCACATAAAGAGCAACATTTTATATTTTAAATGCATGTTTGAAATCATAGTTAGGTTTAACAAAATTGTATTTATTTATTTTAAAGAACTTCTCATTCAAATGTTATTTATTTTCAAAGTGTTTATCTTTGACCAACTCGTATTTAAATCATGAAATCTTTCACGATTCACCTTCGAAACTTTCGACATTTCTCAATCAAACACTAAATATTCACTTAAATTTTACTTCAAACGAAGGTTATAGAAAAATAAGAGAATATTTTAACAAATCTGAAATAGAGTATTGTACATATCAATTTTGTTCTGAAAAATAATTATCGATAGTTATTAGGAACTTTCCAATCTCTATTCCAGTAGAAATTATCTTATCGCCCTTGCAGAAAAAGAAATTCGATATAGAATCAGTAACAGGACTTATAAACCGATTCAAAAGACTAATAGGTATTTAATGTCCCTGTCATAAAATACAAATCGTCAGCTGAAATATATTCATTAAATATAATGTTATATTATCTAGTAATAGTCGAACTAAGAACACCACCCAAAGGTATATCTCAATGAACACATTTTCAATGATTCTCATAACGAATAAATATTGCCAATTACTACCCATATACGTCAAATATGCGGGTGACCAACGTTATGGTCAATGTTAGAAAATAATAGAAGTCTCTCAAAAATATGTTAGTCGCGAAAGCATTCATCCAGTTGGTCACAGAAGATGGGAATTTTATAAAGAGATAACTACATATATAACAAATATAAAAATTAAATTACCACTATCGACAAGAATTATTCTAATCCAACACATGAACCGAATATTCAAAATATACATATTAACAAAGATAA